TCTCTGCAATCAGCACCAGCATCATCACCACCACAAACATCAGAATCACCACCACCATCATCATCAATATCATCAGCAGCAGCAGCAGCAACAGTAGCATCATCATCATCGTCAGTGTCATCAGCATCATCAGCAGCATGAGCAGTACCCGCAGCAGCATTGTCACCATCATCATGATCATCAGCATCATCATCAGCAGCAGCATCATCATAATCAGAAGCATCACCATAATCAGCACCAGAATCAATATCGTTATACATATCGTCATCGTCACCAGCATCACCACGATCGTCATCATCAGCATGATCATCAGCAGCGCCATCAGAATCATCGCCATCATCCTAACATCGCCATCGCCATAACCATCATCATCATCACCACCATCATCATTATCAGCAGCAGAAGCATCATCATACCCATCACCATAACCATTACCATCACCATCAACAATATCATCAGTATCATCAGTATCGTCATCACCATCCCCGCGGCCCCGCCATCAGCTTCGAAGAAATTGCCACCCAGGGCAGGCATGCTCGACCCTGTGCACTGAGCTCTGGTCACTCGCGCCTGTCGCCCCTCCCTCATCCCGGTGCACCGTCCTTTCTCCATCCTCTCCCTCCGATTCCCTCCCCCATTCACTCCCCTCTCCCTCTGCTCCCTCGTCCTCCTTCTGCTCCTCCTGCTCCTCCTCCTCCTTCTCCTCCAACCCCTCGTCCTACCCCGCTCCTCTCCCTCCTTCTTCTCCTCCTCCTCCTCCTCCTCCTCTTCTCGCCTCCTCCTCCCTCCTCCTCCTCCTCCTCCTCCTCCTCCTCCTCCTCCTCCTCCTCCTCCTCTCTTCCTCCTCGTCCTGTTGTGGTTCTCTCTGCCCCCCCCCCCCAAAAAAAATGGGCTAGTTGTGCGTTGGGGGGAGAAAAATCCTTTGTGGTGTTTCCCATGACATCCATTTGCGCGGATTTCCCAGATTATCCCTTTGGGATGCTTTCCAAGGGGCATTCCTGTTGAGAGGCGTTCCAAATAGAATTCCGTGTGCGGCACTGTCCAAAGGATTCCTGTTGTGAGGATTTCCCATGGAATCCCTTTTGCTAGTGCTTCCAAAGGATTCTCACTGTGACGATTTCCCATAGAATGCCGTTGTGGCATTTTCTTACTGACTCCTGTTGTGAGGCGTTCCAATCGAATCTCTTCGTGGTGCTTCTCAATGGATTCCGATTGTGAGGCGTTCCAATAGAATCTCTGTGTGGTGCTCTCCAAACGATTCCTTGTGTGATGCTTCCCTGTGGGATATCCGTGTGGCGCGTTCCAAATGGTTCCTGTTGCGATGGCTTTCAATAGAACCCCATTTGCGGCGCGTCCCAAAGGATTCCCACTCTGAGGATTTCCAGTAGAATCCAGTTTTGATGCTTCCCAAAGGATCCTTGATGCGAGGCTCCAATCGAATAGTTGTGCGGTGCTTTCCAGAAGAGTCCTGTCTTGAGGCTTTCGAGTAGAATCTTTCAGCGGCGATGTCCAAAGGATTCCTGTTGTGAGGCTTCCCGAGTGAATCCTCATGTGATGTTTTCCAAATGGGTTATTGGATTCTCTTGTGTGCGGCTTTCAAATAGGAGCCCTCAGCTGCGTTTTCAAACAAGCTTTGCGGTGTGAGGCTTTCCAATAGAATCCCTCCGTGGTGCGTTCCAAAAGATTCCCACTGTGACGGTTTCCAATAGAGTGCCGTCCTGGAGCGTCCCAAAGAATTCCCATTGTGTGGCGTTCCAACAGAATCCCTGCGTGGTGCGTTCAATGGATTTGGATTGTGGGGTTTTCCCATAAAATCTCTTTGCGGTGCTCTCCAAAGGATTCCTTGCGTGATGCTTCCCAATAGAGTATCCTTCCTGTTGTGGCGTGCTCCCATATAACCCCTTCGCAGCACGTTCCAAAGGACGTCCACTGTGTGGATTTCCCGTAGAATCCCGTTGTGGCGCTTTCCAAAGAATCCTCGGTGCGAAGCTTTCCAGTAGAATCTCTGTGTGGTGCTTTCCAAAATGGTCATGTCGTGAGGCCTTCCAATCGAATCCCTCTGCGGCACTATCCAGAGGATTCATAGTGTGAGGCTTCCTGATTGAATCCCTCTGTAGTACGTTCCGAAGGATTCCTTTTTTGTGCGGCTTCCCATTAGGAGCCCTCAAAGCTGTTTTCACAAAGGCTTAGGCTTTCTGATGGAATCCCTCTGTAATGTTTTCCGATGAGTTCCTCTTTGTGCGGTTTCCCAATAGGAGCCCCTTTGCGGCGCTTTCCGATTCAGTTGAATCCCTGTGGCGTTTTCCAGAGATCCCCTTTGTTGCACTTTCCAAAAGGAGCCTGTCGCAGCGTTTTCCGATGACTTGTGATGTTTTCCAGAGGGAGCCATTCGTGCTGCTCTCCAAGGATTTCTCTTGTGAGGCCTTCCGATAAAATCACTGTGGCGTTTTGCGAAAAATCCTGTTGCGAGGCGCTCCGATAGATTCCCTTTTGTTGCGGTGTTCAAACATCTATCTCTATTGCGAGGTCGTCCGATAAAACCTGTCAGATTCCTTGCCAAAGGGTTCCAGTTGTCTGTTCCCGCAGAATCCTTCTGGGGCGCTTTCCAGAGGATTCCAACGATGATTGCTTCTCACACAAAGCGTGTTACTAGACAGCGCTCTCCAATTGATCCCTTTTGTGAGGCCATGCAATGAACTTCATGTGTTGGATTTCGCACAGTGTTCCAAGCCCGAGGCTGTCCTATCGAATATTCGCATTAGATGTTTCCCATTAGAAGCCCTCAGCAATGCTTACAAAACAGTTTCGTTCACGACGCTTTCCAATAGAATCCTTGATTATACTGGTTCCGACCGGATTCCTGTTGCGAGGCCACACAAACCATGTGGGGTGATTTCTGAATGATTCCTGTTGCGAGCGCTCCAATACAACCTTGTTCTGTGCTGGTCAGAGGATCTCTGCTGTGAAGCCTTCCGATACAGTCTTTTAGATTCCTTTCCACAGTATTCCAATTGGAAAGGTTCCCCACTGAGTCCCTCTGAAGCGTTTTCCAAAGGATTCCAAGTATGATGGTGTCTAACATAACGTGTTTGTAGCGCTTTCTCATGGATCCCTGTTGTGAGGCCATCCACTGGAGTCCCTGTGTAGCACTTCGCAAAGAATCCCTTTGTGGCGCTTTCCAAAAGGTTCCTGATGTGAGGTTCTCAATCGAATCTCTTCGTGGCGCTTCTCAAAGGATTCCTCTTGTGATGCTTTCCAATAGAAACCCTCAGCAATGCTTTCCAAACGGCTCCGATTATGAGGCTTTCCCGTAGAACTCCTTGGTGTAATGATTCCCAGCGGCTTCCTTTTGCGAGGGCACAGAATATCTTTGCTTCGCTTTCCACTGGGATTCGCTTGTGATGCTTATGCTTACGGAAGGAGATGCATACAATGTGTATGCGAGAGAGGAGAAAGCGAGAGAGGAAATACAAGGCTAACGATAAAGACAAGGCTGAAAGCTCGTAGAAACTCCTCTGGCACACCGAAGGGCTCCACAATCCCCCGGCCTCGAGTCCTCCTCCTCTTCCTCCTCCTCCTCCTCCTCCACCTCCTCATCCGTTCATTGTTCCTCTTCCTCTTCCTCCTCGCCCTCCTCTGCCGATGCGCCCTCCTCGTGCATGTTGTCCAGCACGCACCGGAGGAACTCCTGGGAGTCCTCGGGCACGCCGCGGGGGGCGGCGGAGGCCGGAGAAGCGTCGAGAGAGCAGGCGGACGCACCGAGCGGGGGGCACGCTCGGGCTGGGAGTAGGGGGGGGGGAGGGCGACGGGCCAGGGGACCGAGCGGAGGGACGTTTTTGTCGACGTTCGCTTCGGGGGAACTCTGAGTCACGGACGCTTCGTCGGCCAGCAGCTCACCCCCCGGCTCCACAGGGGGCGCTGCCGGTGACCGAACCGAGCGGAGGGGGAGGGGCAGGAGGAGCAGCAGCAGGGGGGTAAAGGATCGATACAAATTCGTCGCCCCCTTGGCGTAACAGTAGCCCGGGCTGCTTCTCCCCTGCCTGCAACCCGCTACCTTGCAGAAGCTCCAGTTATGTTCAAGGAGCAGGCTCGCGACAAAGTCAACGCCAGACAAAGAGGACGAGAGGAGAAGACTCCTCCTCCTCCCTCCTCCTCCTCCTCCTCCTCCTCCTCCTCCTCCTCCTCCTCCTCCTCCTCCTCCTCCTCCTCCTCCTCCTCCTCATTCCTCCTCCTCCTCGGTCCTCGTCCTCGGTCCTCGTCCCCTCGTCCTCCTCCTCCTCCCTCCTCCTCCTCCTCCTCCTCCTCCTCCTCCTCCATCCCCGCCCTCCTCCCTCCTCCTCCTCCTACTCCCTCCTCTCCTCCCTTCCCCTCCTCCTCCTAATCCTCCTCCTCCCCTCCTCCTCCTCCTCCGCTCCTCCTCCTCCTCCGTCCTCCTCTTCCTCCTCCTCCTCCTCCTCTCCTACCTCGCTCCTCCCCTCCTCCACCTCCCTCCTCCTCCTCCTCCGCCTCCTCCCCTCCTCCTCTTTCCCTCTCTCTCCTCCTCCTGCTCCACCTCCTCCTCCACCTCCTCCCCCACCTCCTCCTCCTCCTCCTTCCTCCTTCCTCCTCCTCCTCCTCCTCCTCCTCCTCCTCCTCCTCCTCTCCTCCACCTCCACCTCCACCCCCTCCTCCTCCTCCTCCTCCTCCTCCTCCTCCTCCTCCTCCTCCTCCTCCTCCTCCTCCTCCTCCTCCTCCTCCTCCTCGTCCTCCTCCTCCTCGTCCTCCTCCCTCCTCCTCCTCCTCCTTCTCCTCATTCTCGTTCTTCGCGCTCTTTCTGGGTGGCCGCGGCACCGTCCCGACCAGCGGCGGCACGACGCACCCTGACCGGGCCGCCGAAGGCCCACGCACGCCGTGGCGACGCAGGAGGAGGGCAAGGCGTCGATGGAGAGAGGGAGGGGAGGAGGGAGGAGGGGAGGCGGGAGGAGGAGCAGAGGGAAGGAGGAGGGCAAGACGTGGATGGACAGGGGGAGGGGAGGAGAGAAGAGGGAGGGAGGAAAAGCAGAGGGGAAGAGGAGGAGGAGGAGGAGAAGGAGAGAGGACCCCCCCCCCCCTGGTGGAGCGCGGGAGCAAAAAGAAACCAAGCCCGGGCCGTGCACCTGCGTCTCAGGGCTCCTGCAGCGCGACGCTCTTCTTTCTCCTCTCGGGGGGGGCCCACTGCGCCTGCCAGTCCAACCCCTCTCCACCCATCTCCTCCCTCTCACCATCCTCTCCAGGAGAAAGAAGAGGAGGATCGAGGACCGAGGACCAAGCTTTTTGTTGCGACTTCTGCCCTTCTGGGGACCTCCAGAGGCGGCCGCTGACTTCTCCAGAAACTTCCAGAGGCCTCTGAGGAGGCACCCATATCCCATCTCCTCCTGTCTTCCTATGCCTCCTCCTCCTCCCCCTCCGCCTCCTCCTCCGCCTCCTCCTCCTCATCCTCCTCATCCTCCTCCTCATCCTCCTCATCCTCCTCCCCTTGTTCATCATCGCCCCTCCCCTCCCTTCCCACGCCCCCTTCGGGGGGGCTGGGCCGGCAGCTGCCGCGACGCCACTGATCCTCCTGCCGAAGCCGAACCAGGGCCCCTTCAGGTTCTTGAGGGCCTTCCTCAGGGTCTCCCTGGTGTCCTCTCGGCCGGCTGGCGGCAGCTCGCAGGAGGGCGGTCGAGGAGGCGAGGGGGGGGAGTGCCTTCCTCGGGCTCTCCCCGGCTTCCTCCTGGCTGGCCAGCGGCGACCAGCAGGAGGGGGCGAAGGGGGAAGGGGGGAAGGGGGAAGAGGGGGAGGGGAAGAGGAAGGGAAAGGAGGACGGGGAAGGAGAAGCAGGAAGGAGGAGGAGCAGGAAGGAGGAGGAGGAGGAAGAGGAGAAGGTGGAGACAGGCAAGCAGGCAGGCAGGCAGGGAAGGAGGGGAGGAGGAGGGAGGAGGACTCCACACAGACGCGCCCCAACCTGTCGGTGCCCCACTTCTTTGAACGCTGACAGACCACATTCGACCGTCGGGCACTGCCCTCCAAGCAGCACTGGCCTGAGCTTCACACTCGCGTCAGCCATGGCCAGGGCCTCACGCACCAGCATACGTGAGAGCACCACAGCTCCTCCGGGCAAGACAGCGTTTCCTGAAAAGGCCAGCCGCTAACGGACCGACGACCGACTTGAGGAGGATGGAGAGAGCGAGAGCGCAGGGAGCAAACGGGCCTTCCCTAAACAGTCTGGCTGTTAAGGTTGTGGACCTGTTCTTCTGACACGTGTAGACTCCTCCTCGCCTGCAGTCGGTGGCTCGTGGCGCGCGGTCGGCCTCCCGTCGGGTCGCCCGAAAGGCCTCCCATGTGCTCTCCCGTATGCTCAGTATGGCATCCCGCATGGTCTCCCGTATGCTGTGATGTACGATCCCCCATTCGGGTCTCCCCTGCCGTCTCCCGTACGGTGTCCCGCATGGCTTCCCACATACTCTCCAGTACGGTCTCCCACATGCTCCCTGGTATGGTGCCCCGCATGGTTTTCCGTGCGCTCTCCCGTATGGCTTCCCCGAAAGTGACTCCATATGATCTATCATTCTGGTCTACCGTCTGGTCTCCCGAATGCTCTCCCGTATGGTCTCCCGCATGCCGTCCCGCAAGGCCTCCCGCATGCACAGTACACAGCAGTGCCCTCTTGCATATTTGGAGCATGCTGGTTAAGGCCTGCTGTCGCCTGGGTGCGATCTTGAGTAGATCCTCAACCTGCCCGTCGGGTAACGCCAGTCTTTTGATGGCGGCCGTGCGCCGTGCTTTACGTAGCACGCCGACTGGGGCACGACGCAGCAAACTGGGCATGCGGAAGCAGGCGCACGAGGCAGTCCAGGCAATCGGCGTGGTCTGCCTGGCCGACCGCCTTTGCTCGACGGACAGCGGGCGCACGAGACAACTTGGCTGGCTCTCCTCCTCCTCCTCCTCCTCCTCTTCTTTTTCTTCGTCTTGCTAGTATGTGTATTATTATTCTTAATATTAGTATGATTAATCGTATTAGTTTCCCGTTTAGTATTATCCGTATTATTAGTAGTATTAGTAGTGTTATTCGGATCAGTATTCGTATTATTATTCTTAGTTGTCTTATTATTAGTATTAGTATAAGCGTTCTTATTCTTAGTAACATCACTAGTCTTCTTATCATTTTAGTAGTAATGTAATTAGTATTCTTATTATTAGCAGTAGCAGTAGTACTATTAGTATTAGTAGTATTCGTCTTATGCCTCGTATTGTTCGTTTCATTAATACTCTTAATACTATTATTAGTAGTTTTATCCTGGTGAGTATGATGATTATGCTTCTTAGTCTTATTATGATTCTTAGTATTATTCGTATTATTGTTATTATTCTGCTTATTCTAAGTATTAGTATTGTTTGTCTTCGTATGCTTAATATGTTTGCTCATATTCGTATTCTTATTATTCGTATTATTGTTATTCCCCACATGCTTCGTGGGGTTATGGTTTTCTTCCCACCCGCGCCGCACCCGCGTCTCACCCACACCCGCCCTCCTCTCTCTTTCTTCCTCCCCTCACTCACACACACACACACACATACACGTCACTCTTCCCCCCCTCGTCACAGCACTGCTCAGCTCAGCTCAACTCAGCTCAGCACAGCACAGCACAGCTGAACTCAGCTCAGCACAGCACAGCTCGGCTCAGCTCAGCTCAGCACAGCCCAGCATGGCTCAGCTCAGCACAGCACAGCACAGCTCGTGGCACTTTCTCGACACCACAGGGGGTGCGCAGGGGGTGGTCTCTCAAACTCGCCGTTTATCCACGACAACAGGCGCAAAATCCTAGCAGGCGATGGCACTCTCCTCGACAACCAAAGGGGGTGGCAGGGGTGGTCTCACAGCTCGGCCGCTAATCCACGACACTGCACAAAGCCTAGCTGGCGATGCACTTTCCTCACACCACAGGAGGGTGCGCAGGGGGTGGTCTTTCACCGCGGTCCCTATCCACGACACTGGCGCAAAGCCTAGCAGGCGTGGCACTTTACACCAAAGGGGGTGGGCAGGGGGTGGTCTCTCAGCTCGGTCGCTATCCACGACACTGGCGCAAAGCCTAACAGGCGTGGCACTTTTTCCCCTCGACAAAGACCAAAGGTGGGTGGGCATGGGGTTGGGTTCTCTCCAGCACGG